CTCGACAGTTTTTAGACTTCCGTGCTTCAAATGCCAAAGTTACTGAGCCAACATTTTGGTTGCTAAGCAAGAGCGTTGTTAAGTGAGTTTCACCACATTTTACAAGTTGGCCACGCCCACCCAGTCACAAGGCTGGCAAGCCACTCCCACCCGGTCACATGGCCAGCAAGCCACTCCCACAAAGCACGCCACACCTACAGAAGAGGTTCTAAAAAACTTTAAAACCCACCACTGGTATGTATGTAATGTCAAAGCACCTGGTATGCCCAAATATGGGAGGGAGCATACTGCTTCCCTTTTGCCTTTCAGCTCCACCCTAGGAGCCTTCCAGGCAGAAAAATGCAACACAATATATATTTATAATGCTTGTAAATGGGAACATACTATGTATTTACTTGAGGAAGATTTGTCACAGGAAAGGAAACTCAACCAGCAGATGATGTCATAGTAGCTGTGGATCTGTAATAGTGGCATATGAATCAAAGGTTTTCAAATGTTTGCAAATAAAAGAAGAACAGAAATCCAAAGAAATCCAAACCCATCCTTGGAATTTCTTCTCGCACAACTTCAGAGGGGGTGGAGGACAGTTCCAAAGCCCAATTCCCATCTCATCTTTCCTTCACAATCAGCAGAACTTCAGCCTGTACTGATTTTTCTTCTTTCCATCAGGTCTTTTGGGCCCCACCATCCAAGCCGAAGTCTATGACAAGGTGATTGTGACCTTTAAGAACATGGCTTCCCACCCCTTCAATATTCATGCCAAAGGTGTATCTTATTGGAAAAGTTCTGAAGGTGAGAATGACACCCCAACTGTCCTCCTTGCATCTTCTTCAAATTCTTTCCACTGCTGACTGGAGCCGTGTTGGTACTGTGGATAGAGTGCAGTACTGCAGGCTACTTCCGCTGACTGCCGGCTGCCTGCAGTTTGGCAGTTCGATTCTCAACGGCTCAAGGTTGACTCAGCTTTCCATTCTTCCGAGGTGGGTAAAATGAGGCCCCTGATTGTTTGGGGGCAATAGGCTGGCTCTGTAAACCAGTTAGAAAGGGCTGTAAAGCACTGGGAAGCGGTATATAAGTAAGTGCTATTGTTATTACTGCAGCTGATTGGATGTTGCGTTAGGAGCCATGGTGGCCCAATGGTCAGAAGGCAGTATTGCAAGCTAATTCTGCCTGCATTCAGGAGTTCGATCCTGACGTTGATTAGGGTTGACTCAGCCTTCCATCTTTGCGAGATCGGTAAAATGAGGACCCAGATTGTTTGGGGGAAATAGGCTGACTCTGTAAACTGCTTAGAAGGCAGAGGTGGGTTCCTACCAGTTCGCACCCATTCGGTAGAACCGGTTCGTCAAATCTACCNTGATGTAAGGATGATAGAGAGTTTTTCAGTTTCCTTTCTCAACTGGTCAATGGATGCTTTGGGATTCGTCCTGCCCATCACAAGAGGCATTTTGGCACTTGCAAGCATCCCCGAATTATAGCAACCATCTGTCAAAGCATCCGCAGAGAGGCTCTCAAATTCAGTTCTCTGGAGCCACTGCTGGAACAAGGGTATCTGACTGTGGATTTTCACACCATATTCAATGAGGCCCAAAGCAATGTCCAATCCATCTTTGTTTTGGCAACAGCTCTTTACTGCTGCTTCGAGATTCTCACTCTCCTTGCAAAAATTTGATTCAGCAAGGCAAACATGCAGTCTTAACAAAATAACAGAGTTGGAAAGGACCTTGGAGGTCTTCTAGTCCAATCCCCTGATCAGCCAGGAAACCCTAAAACCATTTCAGACAAATGATTGTCCACTCTCTTCTTGCTCGAGCACCCATAACTTCACTGAAAGCTCTTCATTGGAATCTGTGTCTCCATTCATCAAGAATGCTTTTGAGATCCACCCTGTTGGGATCTTGAATTTGATTGATGGACAAATTTGTTGGGCCAACGAAAGCTTGAAACTCTAGGGAGTCACTACAGCTTTGAGCATTTATCTTTAAAACTAATGTTCTTGCAGTCATGTCTTGATGTAGTAAAACCACCTTCCTAACATAAATGTCTTATATATATTAGACATTGGGTCAATTCGATTATTAGATAGGGACCTCCTCATCTGAAATATTTGTTTATATGATATATTTTTCTTGTTAAATAAGGATGATTCAGTTTACAACTACTTGCAGACCCATTATGTAAGGGGGAACAGAATTTATCAGGGTTTTTTTAAGTTTTCTTTTCAGCATCCAGCCAGGATGGATTTTTTTTCTACATTTAATGTTTAGGTCATTTTTTTCCACCCACCCCCTTTTTTTGTACAGTTTTTCTTTCTTTTCTGTTGTTGCTACAGTTGGATGTATGTTTTCTCTGGTTTTTTTCTACTTTTTATTTTATTCCCATTGACAAAACATAATAATCTATCTTCTATCTATCTATCTATCTATCTATCTATCTATCTATCTATCTATCTATCTATCTATCTATCTATCTATCTATC